AGGTGCACATAGAAGAGAGTGCGCGGTGGATTCGTAACCTGGCAATCGATCACAACGTGCGTTATAGGGCAGGAAAGACTACGTACAATGCTGAAGGAGGGAATCGGCAGGCGTCATGTGCTCCTCTGGATGAAATTCATGGTGATGCTGACGACGAAGGAGAACTTAGGATACGTACACAGTGGGCGCATCGATTCCAGACAGGCGGTGTGCCATGCTTGAGAGGTTCTTGCAACTGGATGGGGTGCGGAGGGCACGCGACGGAGGACCCAGTGCTGAGCGTTGGCGGCATCGACTCCTGAGATGGGAGTGAGGCAGAAACATCCAGAGAACATATCTAAGCGAAAAGAGGTGAATTAACTCGCAGTCAGTGTGATGTGAGAGGGGACGGCAGGAGACGCAAGTGGCGCACCAGCAATACAGAGCCTGCGATAAGAACCTCTGAGAGAACCTCGATGAGGACTATGATAAGACCGATTTATAGTCCTGTTCACTGCAGCACACATACACCGAGCATTCATGATAGCGAGAGGTGAATTTAGTGGATATTCGTTCCTGGGAAACGTGTCAGAGCGGGATGTGATGAGAGGGAGCACACACCTTGGCTTCCAGCTAGAAGTGCAGGGTTCGTTCCCAACTTGGCGGTCAGTCACGGCTGGTACTATGGGGAAGGAGAGGATACGCACAGTTATCCAAGGTGGGAAGGCATGTATCATGTCCCCCTTCGCATTGATGTCAGAGTCATTCCGACGACCGGTGAACACGTACATACAGGGAGAAGTGCAGGGGGAGGAGAGAGGGTGCAGGATGACGCCGGAGGCAGGTGTTCGGCATTATCCATGATGGATCAGTATCTCGCTTGTGTAGGTAAGTACGCATTCATTGGCAGATGGTGGTGGATGGAGGAAGGGGGCGCAAGGGGCGGTTCAGAGGCACGCGTGGGCGATCGGGATGTACTGCCGGCGGGGTGCACGAAGAAGAGAGTGAGCGCACGGTTCACAACCTGTCAGTTCGTCAGAACGAGTAGTAGCGAGAAGGGAAGGGTACGCACAGTTGTTCAAAGAGGAAGATACGCCGGCATTATCTGCTCATGTGGTAGGGGGTCGTAGTCATATCGACTTGCGATGAGAACGCAGAATACGTTCATAGAGGGTGCATCTGTTCGGCGAAATACGGTGGGTTACGCCAGGGGAAAAGTTCTTGTAAGATGATGGGGTGCAGAGGTGAGGCTACGGAGGACCAGCGCTAATTGTTGGCGGCAACTACATTCCCGGAATGTTAATTGGAAGAGACAGCCAGAGAGCAATAGTCCGAGCAGCAAGGGACCGACTCTGCTCATGGTCAGTGTGAGATGGGGTCGACATGAGAAGCTAGTGGAGCACCTGTGATATGGAGTACCCATACATGGAGTGATTGTAACAGCGAGAGATGTCAATTCAGTAGAGATCTCATGCCTGGAAACGCGTCAGAGCAGAGCGTGATGATGTTGCTCACACACCTTGGTCTCCAACTGGAAATGCGGCGTTCGTTCCTGGCCTGGGGGTGATCAAAACGTGTGTGTGAAATGGCGAAGGAGAGGTACGTACCCCTCACCAACGAAATGCTGTGGCAAAGGACCTGGACAGCGGCGGTGGATGTTGAGAGTGGATGCAGTGTGCGTCGTCAACCTGCCGGGTGATCACAACGTATGCCGCGAACAAGGAGAGGGTACGTACGGTTGTTCGAGGACGGCAAGCATGTACCCGCCATGGCCTAAGATTGATTGTGCAAACGTTGAAAATCGCGCAGTGATCGACAATTCTCCAGGGCTTGGCGATGGATGCTTCTGAGACGGATCCCATCCCCTACTCGCCGGGTGTAGGAATAAGCGAGCGGTTGGAGGGAGAGGGGGAGCCGATACTTGTGAGGGTTGGTGGGGATTGTATCGCTGACAGGGCTGATGTCGATAAAAGTGTGGGGCGTGCTCCCAACCTAGCAGTTGATCAGAATGCTAGTGCAGGGAAGGAAAGGATACGCACCGTTGTTCGAGGAAAGAAGATCGACAGGGGTCGTGTGGCCCTGTGAATGGGTGTCATAGTCATGCCGATGAGGGATGAAGACATACATAGACAGAAGATCTCCTTGGCAACCTTCGGCGCATTGCGCTTGAAAAGAAGTTCTTGCGAGAAGATGGCGTGGAGAGGAGAGGTCGCGGAGGGCCAGTGCTGCGGTTTGCGGCAAAGACAGTCTGATCGTATTCAGTGCGAGAGTGAATGAGGTAGAGGAGGAAGTGGGGTACTGGTTGTAGACAGTCCTGAGCAAGGATTCGTACCCCTGAAAGAACCAAGATTCCGATGGTGATGAGGCCGAGCGACAGTTTCATGGAGCACGGTCAACATATATGGAGCAATCATGGTTGCGAGAGAGGTGAGCCCGGTTCATGTCTCGGAACTGAGGAACATATCAGAGGGGATCATGATAATATTGAGCACTGTACGCACCTTAGAATGTGAGTAGAAGTGCAGTGTCCATCGACGACCTGTTGGGTGATCACAACGTGTATGACGCAGAAAGAGAGAGTACACACAGTCATTCAACAAAAGAAGGCATGTGTCATGTGTTTCTGTGGACGGTTCATAGTGATGCGGATGAAGGGTGAAGACGTACATGTAGATGTGGCCGACGAGGAGCAGCGGGGACGGGGACGGAAGAAGGGAGAAGCGTAAGCAGGCAATGTGTTTGGTGGTACCCAGACGATACTAGAGTCTTGATTTTATGACTAGATGGGAGTTCGGTGGTGGATGGTGGTGGATGTGGGAAGAGGGGGGAAGGGGCGAATGACCCATGTTGAGCGTAAACACCCAGAGTTATATATGCCAGCCTGCTTCCGGCTCACGGTCGCGTCTGAGTCGCGACAAGGTCACGTTCTCATCACGTTTAGATCACATTTGGCCACGATCCGATCGCGTTTGTTGTCGTTATGTTCAGCTTGTATTGCAGAGAGAACGAGGAATGCGTTGATCATGCCAATGTAAGACCGTTGAGTTGGAATGTAGCCCAACAACTCTTGGCAAGGGTCTACGGAGGTAAATGACCTCGTGCCGAGCACGCGGGAACCCTTGCAAATCACATGCAGGCGATGGACGGGCGCTTGCGCAAGAACTAGTTGAAGATAACTGAACATAAATATTCAAGACGATGGTTATGTGACCCCCTGTCCAGATATCAAGATGAACCGAATTTAGAGCGCGTAAATCAAGAGTCGGCCCAGTATTGCACCGCCCATTCCTGGCCCATGTACAACTTGTGAGGAGCGCAGGCGCGACGTGATGGGATCGATTGGCATGCATCCATGTGGAAGAGCACGTGATGCTAAACGCTATTCACGTGCTCCAAAGGCCCATTTAACTCCGTGGACCCTTGCCAAGAGCGCGTTGGTCTGCATTCCAACTCGACGGTCTTAGAGCGACACGATCGACGCATTCCTCGTTCTCTCTACAATACAAGCTGAAGACAACCACAACAAACACGTTACGATCATGGCCGAACGTGATCTAAACGTGATCATAACGTGACCATGTCGCGACTCAGACGCGATCGTGAGCCGGAAGCAGGCTGGCATATATAACTCTGGGTGTTTACGCTCAACATGGGTCATTCGCCCCTTCCCCCCTCTTCCCACATCCTCCACCATCCTCCACCGAACTCTCATCTACTCTCAGATTAGACACCTTAGTATCGTCCGGGTACCACCAAACACCTTGCCTGCTTACTCTTCCCCTTCTTCCCTTCCCCCTGCACCCTGTCAGCTTCAATGTACGTCTTCTAGCTCTTCACCCTTCACCATGATCTCTATGACACAATGCACAGAAACGCATGTCTTCCTTAATCGAGCCACTTGTGCGCTCTCTCTTTGCCCATCATACACGTTGTGATTACCGGCAGGTCGCCGACACACGCTGCACTTCTACTCGGAATCCAATGTGCGTGCAATGATCAATCTTATCACAACCCTCTCTGAAATGTTTTTAAGACTCAAGATGCGACCCGAGTTCTTTAAAGGGGTTGCGCGTTGAGCTCATTGCTGTCGTCAATTGAGTTCTGTCAAAGCTGCCCATCCGTGCTCAATACACTGTATCACCGGTCCTCCAGTTCCATCTTCTTCCCTACTCACCTTTCACTGTACACGAGCAGATTCTATCCCTCCCGCTCTCCCCCTCCTCCTCAATTCCAGGAGTGGATGCCGTGCGCAGCCTCAGCACTGGTTAACCGCGGCCTTCTCCTTCTCCGTTCTCTTATATAGAAGAACTTCTTCTCAAGTATAGCACGCCGTAGAGTTCGAGCATCATGTGCGTGTTCTATGTCTTCAGCCGTCTTCGGCATGACTCTGACGATTATCCGCAGGACCACACGCGAATGAACAACGCACCTTCTACCTGAACACTGTCAGCAATCCAACCCCCAGCGACCTCACGGTCTCGCCTCTCCCTCCAGCCGTCCCCCATCTCGTTTAATCCTACGCCCTGGATGCGCAATATCCTCCCTCCCTCCCATACGTGCTGCCACTACGCACTCCACCAACGGATCCGGTGCCTCCACCTTGTCTCCCATGACGTTCCGCAACACACTGACAGTCATCTTGCTCATCATGAGCTCTGGCAGGCTCACCAAGTTCCATCCCTTCCCACCACGTGCCTAGCTACCCAGGTGAGCCGTCTATCTAGTGCGGAAGCTGCCATCCCGAACCCGTGGAGAAGTATCAATCCCTGGACGACGTTCAAGAGTCGCTCAGTCAATCTTACGCCGTTCCCCGAGCATATCTGTCCATGTACGACAGGTTCATCAAGTTTTCGGACCTTTGTGGTTAGATCCTGATGGTAAGTGAATATGATCAATCCAGTTTCAAGTCGACCTAACTTTGATTCGGGCGTAGATCTCTTCTGGACCCGCGCTTCGTCATCTATGGTGTGCAGCTCTCGCGCCATGATTCGATCACATTCAACATTGATTGCACTGCTTCAGTGTACCCTTCCATGTCTATCTTTTGGGCGGTGTCTAGGCGTGATTTCTATCACTTTCTTCAAGGATGAACCGCACATGAAGACATGCCTCGAATGGTGTTCTTGTGCCTTTTGACGTGAGCGCGCTCTACAACATCTCTGTCGGCCTGGGCTTCTTCGTCTTCTTCGTGCGTGTGCTCTTCCTTCACGCAAGTTGAAGCTCACCCTCACACAGCTCACCCTCTTCTCTCCCGTCACGAATGCCTCTGTCGGCAGAGCGACCCCGTCGACCGTTTTCGGCATCGCCATTGGCTTCTACCGCACCAAACATCCGTTTATCCGCGTTCTTGGGGAGGTGTCGATCTTGCAAGAGTCAACTACATCCCCATGGTGGTGACGTGGGTCATCCTGGTCCTCCGTGTGTTCATTATAGGCATCGAGCTGCCCCAGGGCTACATACTGCGTCACTGGCGGAGCCTCATGCTCTTGTTGCTTGGAGGGATGACTTTGGGTGGGTTGATCTGCGGAGGCGAGTACCCCTTCCTGCATGTATGGGTATTATTCTTGATGGTCTTCGTCCCCTCCTCCGTCCTTGCCGCACCCGATTGTCTGATCCCGACAGACCCCGTGTGCATAGGTTTATGCATATTCTCTCCTACTAATCCCTCGTAGGTCTTGTCGTCATCGTCTATGGCGGACAATATGTGCTGCGTATCTTGGTTGCGGGAAGTGTCTCGAACAATGGACCTGCTTTCCCCTCTTGGAACATTTCGCTTCATGTGGTTCCAGGGCGGCTGTCAGGGAATAGCCCCTCATCACCTCGCTCTGTACGCCTTCTTCCCCTGGTCCTGTCTTCAACGTACTCACCACGTGTATCTGTTCGTCATCGGGTTACAGAAGCGGTCCGCGTCGGAATCCTCATGAGCAGCACATTCATCTGCTGTTCCGCCGGTAATGATCAGATGTGAGCTGAGGTGAGTCTTGGATCGATCAGGCGTCAGGAAGTATGCTCTCTGACGGTAATGATCATGGGTATGTCTCGCTCCCTAACACCCTTGTTCTCGTTTACTAACTTCTCCCGGGCTTAGCTGTTCTCAAGTCATGTCCGTCGACGATCTCTACGCCGCGTTCTTTCCCGGTACTTCGTCGTACCGATGGTCTTCAACTCGGCATGCGTCGTCTTCATCGGCGCAGCGAAACCCTTCGC